GGTAGGATGGCAGCAGGGAAATATTTCAAGGGGACCCAAAAGATGAACTATGGATAGGGAAAGGGGGAGGAGATAAACATGTGGTTATTCTAGAGGAGAGGGGAAAGCCCACAATCACTCTATGCTGCACAATAGCTCCTTTTTTGTTGTTAGAGCTGCTCATGCCACCATTCTCCTTTCCCCCTCCTGACTCTCTATGTGAGTCCCATCAGTACAGAGTGATGATGTTAAATTCACAAGCTGTAATCTTGACCAACCTTAGTGATAAGACATTCTTTATGTGGTGCTTTGTTCTGTCCTACAGATTTGCAGTAATTAGACTTGCGAAAAATCTTCTGAGTTTCAATGGTGGGATGAAGGAACTTGTGAGACAACCCAAACATTTAGAAAGTGGTCTTGGCAGAAATGTTAGCTCTGAAAAAAGAGGATATATATGGGGAAAGGCAGATGTGTGGCTATGAATGGGTAAGAATTATTTAGTTTTCTGATTTATTATGGGTATATTTTTACCACCATTTAGGGGATACGTCTAAGAGGCAAGTGTTAAGATTTTCTGCTGCCAGTGACAAAATCACTTCACTGGCCAACTAACTGTTTTTGGGTGTTTGTGTGTGTGTATGTGTGTGTCACTATTTATGGTTCTGCCTCAAGCACCAAAATGTCTTGGGCTAATCGAGGCTGTAAGACACATAGGTTTCCCACCCTAGCTTGAAAGCCAGCTGGATTTGGACCAGGGACAAATCCTCATAACAGTCCTGAAGTTTGCTGGGTGACCTTACTCTGTGCTTCTTAGATTATCCTCATGTTCCTTTTCTCAGTCTATTAATTTTTAACCATCATTTGTATAGGTTTGGCATGGTCATTTTCCTCCCCCATTGAATCACAAAATTTGTAAAGCATTTTCCCAAAGTGTCTAGTGTCTTCTCTCCAAATAACATGATGCCAATAATCTTCACAGTTCTGGTGGAGATACTGAAGCTTGCTTGTGAGAATATGGCTAATCTGAACTCAAGTCTTCTCAACTCATCCTCAAAACATTTGTGTTAGTTTCTGTATACTTACCTGTTGCACTTCAAGGGAAAACCAGGCCAGGTGTGGAAAACCAGGTAAATAGCACAACATTGACTTTTCAGGAAACCACAAGGTAACAAGTGTAGCAGAAACAGGAAGTACAGATCTCTGACAGGATGCTTCTAGCACAGAGTCTTTCTGAGCTTACCTTGGTGACACAGGAAAGAAGAGGCAAACTACCCAAAGAGCAAGAGCAATGGGAGAGCAAATGAGATGCAAGGAGAAAATGGCTTTGTGAGAGAAAAATGAGCTATACACCTCTGTTATCATCAGCTGTTGGCCATACTAGCAGGTGTTGGTGGGGCTGTTTATCAACAAAATTGGAATCATTTGCTAGCTGAGACAAGGGGCCACAATGGATGGATAATGTTCCTCAATTGAGACTCCATTTTTTTTTTTTTTTTTTTTGGTAGAGGGAGGAGAAAATGGAGATTCTTCAGGAGGATTTTCTCCAGTGCTGGTGTAATCCCCATGAATATTGGTTTGGTCCAATAGATGGAGAAGGCTTAAGGAAGGGTCTGTGCTTGCTGGTTCAGTTCAGAAAGAGAAGAAGCTGGAGAGAAGTTTCAGTTGCCAGGGCTAAGGAATAGGCCCTTTTCACTTTGAATAACCCCCTTTGCAGATGACGGTTTGCACCATCTTGGAGGCAAGGAAGGGAGAGGCATCTGGATGTTGTGCACCCCATCCCCTTCCTGAGGACATCGTTGGAGTGCCAGCCCTTCCACATGACGGGCGCTCCGATGATGTCCTTCCGGCTCAGCGTCCAGACACTATTTTAGCGCTCATTTCCCAGGCAGTGAAAGGGAGGATCAGGGCCGAGGCATGGGGCAGCCTCGGCCCCGATCCGCTGCTTCCCAGGGCGGCCCATGGCCACCTGTCTGCATCCCCCTCATGAAAATGCATTAAGGTCAAAAGGCAGGATAGCTGCAAAGTGCCTTCTAACTGTTAGCATGATAAAAAGCATGATGAAACTGCCCTGCAGATTTGCATCCAAATGTTGCATCCAATTTTGTTGTAACAAATGTTGAGCAGCATGGTTAGCCCTACATATCCACAGATACTTTATCCACAGATTCAACTATCAACGGCTTGAAAATATTCCAAAAATACATACATTCCAAAAGGCAAACCTTGATTTTGTCATTTTATATATGGGACGCTATTTTATTATGCCATTGAAAATAATGGATCTTGAGCATCCATGGATTTGGTATCTATGGGGGATCCTGGAACCAAACCCTAGTGGATACCAAGGGCCCATTGCACAGGCAAAAGAGTCATGCAATCATGTCTTTCACAGGCACTCACTGGATGGTTTGAACTTTTGGAGAAATGCATATGTGCCTAATTTAATATATGATTGTTGCATTGTTCTAAATATATGTACCATGTATACTCGATTATAAATCGACCTCATGTACAAGTCAAGGGCAGGTTTTGGGGCCAAAATTATGGATTTTGATACAAATCATGGATAAGTTGAGAGTAAAACTTAGGGGTGTGTAGCAAAGGATGCAAAGGATGAAGCAAAGGAAAACAGTGCCAGAAAAATTTCAGCAGGCATAACTGTTTGTGCTCATATGAAAGGCTTCATGGATTAGAAAATATAAAGGGGGTGTGAGTGCTTCTGGAAGAGATGACACTCTTGCCTTTCACCAGGGGATGATTCCTTTTTTATATAAGAATTAAAGTGCAGTATAGTAGTTACACTGACCCATGGATAAGTCAACTTGAGTTTTTGGAGTCAATTTTTGGATTAAAATTTCTAGTCTTATACATGAGTACTGTGTTTCCCCCAAAATAAGACACTGACTTATATTTATTTTTCCTGAAGAAGACCCACTATGGCTTATTTTCAGGGGATGTCTTATTTTTATTCAGTGCTGAGTAAAAGGACAGCCACAGCTTTACTTCTTCCCCCAAGGACACGCAATACGTAAAGCAGAGCATCCTGCTCCTCATTTCACTGAGGAGACTTTTACTTTCACTTTCTATATCTCCCACTATGCCTCAGCTTGCAGTATGCACAGAATGATGGGGCAGATGAGAAGGGCTGCCATGCCTATCATTATGTATTATTTTTGGGGTATGGCTTATATGGCAAAATGCTTAGAAATCCTGCTACAGCTTATTTTATGGGAATGTCTTATTTTCGGGGGAACACGGTATATACAGTATATATTGG